TACTTCCTTTGATTGTTGCTGTGTTTAATGTGAAATGTAAATGCTACCCATATCAACGGCAACAAATTCCTGCAAAAAAATTAACAATAACCTGTTGCCCATAAGACAAGCCATGCGATTAAATTACAGATGTTTGCCGATATCTAATGTCCACCACACACATACAAAAAATTTGATCTGGGTTTCGCAGGGTCTTATTTTTCAGCAAACCAAATTTGACAAAAACTATTAATTTAGGCCTAGGCCTACCTTTTAACATTTCCAAACATGATTTGGCTACCACAACAATTTCATCCTGGACCAGGTACTGCCAGGACTGCAAAGGTAGTAAAATGTGGTCTCCACCATGTCCACAGCTGTGAATGTGGGGCTTGTACCGTCACGACGTGGAGGAATCCGTCAGTCAGTGGGCACTTGCCCCAAGCTCAGCTCAATGGCAGCCCACCACATGGTGGCCGGCCGAGGTTTTGCTACTAGGGCAGGAGTCAGCTTTCTTCCCACACGTGTCAGCTTCCAGGCATGCTGGATGGCTTGCCAGGCATGGTAGCCATGGAGTGATTCCGAGATTTCTTATCTCCGATGGAAACAAATAAGCCCACAGTCTCACACTTTCACAAAACATGCAGCATTAGCTCGAAACCAGAGAATTCTGCAACTTTTTGTGACACGGTACAAAGTGCATCACGTGCAATTTGAAATTGAAATGTCACCAAAAATATGATATTTATGGGTGGGTTTTCACGGCTAACAAAAATTTTAGCTGTTGTCCCGTAGTGATAGTAATGAACACTGAACCCTCATTCAACAAACTTAAGAAGGTAGATTTCTGTTTTAAAAAAATGCGGTTTTAAAAAATTCTTATATTTTCTGATACATACTGACAAAATTTATGATTTTATTCCAAAAATTGTCGAACATTTGACCTTTTATAATTTTACTTTGCAAAGGAATATTTCAATCATTCAAAAAATATTGATGATCTTAATGAATTCATCTGTTTTCAGAAAGTGGGAAGATTAGAAACCGTCAGATTCGATGTTGTCACTGGAAAACGAGGAAGTAACTGGAGAGTTGTCTCAATTTATCCCAAAGGGATCAAAAATCAATATTCATGAGCGGTAATGAGGGGAACCATTTTCAATTTTTTTCGCGCATGTACAAATGCACTTGCATTTGCGGGCTATCATGCTGAAGGGACTTGTGACTTGACTTGTGAAAGGACCTGTGAAAGGACTTGTGATGGACTTGAACACAACACTGGTACAAGTAACTATGGTCTTGCAAAGCAATTATTCAATACTACTGAAAAAGAATGTGCGGACAGTCAGATGAAAGAGTACTGACAGATATTGAGAGATATTGTACAATATGTACATATGTTATGTGTTTATGCTAGACAACATACATGTAAAAGTAATAATTACTGCTAATGGGTCATTAGGGAGACATTCCCAAAAGAACATGCACAAAATTTTTCCAACTTTACAGTCCCATAATTCAATATTCCCCGGTCTGATCTGAATGAAACTTTGCATGTTTTCATTTTAGACCCTACTTTATGATCTATCTAAATTTGGAC